GATGCTTGCAGATCCTGACTTCTTGCCAGGTGAGATGCTGCCAGTGATTTGGTGCAGGCAGATGAGAAGTCATATTGCTGAGCTGCTTGTGGCTTCACAATGGACTGGTACAACTATACCAGTCATGGTACATGGATTAAGTTTATGTGTAGTTTGCGCTAGCAGTTTGCACAAATGGGTGTTAGGAATAAACTGAAAAAATGTAATCCTCTGTCTGTGGCCTACAGTCAGTCATGTAGTTTCTTTGGATTTCTGTGTCTCTTTTGATGGATAATGCACTTACCTCCTAGGCCTGCAAGCATTTAAAAATGTGTAATATCAATCATTGCTTTTATACAGTCATGCACTATCAACTTTCCTGGATACCAGCTTTTCTGTGCTTGCAGTCAGATGTTCCAAGCATAATATCTCGCTGGCTGCAGTGGACCATCCAGAGCTCACTGGCAGAGGATGATTTATCCTTTTGGTAGGAAGGAAGTCTTTATCGCATGGAGCTCTTGGTTCTAAACGGTGGAGAGGTAACGTTTGCCTCATTCTTAAACTATCAAGAGGAAGGAATTGAACCCCTTTGATTGCCACCTTCCCATCAAACAGGCAGGCACATATAAACACCTTCAGAAGCATTCCAAGGTAGAACAGAATTTGCTTGGACTTGTTTGCCCAGCTGCTGTCTCCCCCAAGGTGCAACTTTGTCCAGCTGACAGGAGGGTACTCCTCACAGCTCCGCTTTCCAATGCCTCAGCCCTTGGAGGTGCCAGGGGATGTGAATGTGTGCAAGACTTAATGGATCTGGCACCTCAGACAATGTTTCCTCAGGGGGAAACACAGCGAATTTACAGTGGGTTTATGCAAGTCCATAGTTTATGATAGATATGTCAACGTAATCTGCATACCTCCTGCTCTTGTACTTTGTAGGCTTTAGCTTGTAGAAGTCTTGTGATCTAACAGTAGTCAGCAAATAATCTAACTGTAGTCAGCAAGTATTTATTTGTAACACAGAAATATGTCTTGTATGTAATATGGGAAGTTCTCTTTCAGTTGTAAACTCAAGATTTTCTTCTTTTTCCCCCAAATTGCCAAGGAAGTAATTTTTGAGATTTATTGTTGTTTCAGTTGATTTTGGCCTTGAATGGATTCTGTTTGAGATAGTGTGACAATTTTCTTGTCTTGCCTTTGGGAGGAAAAGTGGTGTTCTTTAGTTCTCCAAGTCTATGAAAAGTAGAAGGTTAAAAAAGTTCTTTATTGTTTTTTTGCTTGCTTTCTTGGTTTTTGTTTGGTTTTTTTGTAACAATATAGTGAAGGCCTAATTGTAATTAGAGGTAGATGTTGGCTTGTCTTTAACAAAAGGAATCATTCCAAGGTTAAATCAAAAGTGGGCTTTTTTTACCCCCAGAGAATTCTGTGACAGATAGGAAGGCAAGTTTGTATTTCCAAAAGAAAGTACTATTTTTAAGAGCAAAGGAGTTGTGTCTCTGTAAAAGGGATGATCTATAACTTCTATACTAGCTCTTCTTATTTCAAGGAAAAGGGAAGACAAGCAAAATTGCCTACTACTCTTTAAAAGCTTTGACTACTGCTCCAGGCCGTCTTTAGCTCAGCTGTCTCTTAAGTGAGCTCCTATGATCAGAGTAGTGAAACCAAATGAATGGTCCCAATATTTTTCTGTTTGTTTGCTTGTGGGTTTTTTATGTTTTATTCCCTTAAATATGTAACAAGCTACATGTTGGGTTGTTTTTTTTTCCCTCTAAAAAACACGTGGAGGACATCTATGGCTTGTGTTGGATGGAAGATCCTGCTGCCCTCTCTTCCTGCAGCCCTACAATACCAGCCTCCAACATTCTTGCGCCATTCTGTTGTGCTTGTCTACTCATTTGTAAACCTGTCAGTCCCTTAGGGGGGAAGGGGAATTACAAGGTGAATCTACTAAGTAAATTTTGGTAGGGGAAGAAGATAAAGGAAAATATGCTGTCTTATGAGACTTGTGCTGTTAGCTTTTAGCTGTCTACAGGTATCACCTGCGATACACAGAATCCTTTCAACATATCGAGGTTGCATTTCTGTCCTTTTTTCTGTTTTCTCTGAGCTGCCTAGCTCCCCCCTGGAAAGGCAGGGATGGATAGCTCTGCTGTGCCACCAGCCCTCACAAGCCTGGCATAGAAGAATGTTCAGTTCCTCCATCAGGGCAAAGGCTGTTTTTGCTCATTATCTAATCAGTCAGTAGAAACTATTTAGGGAAATGAGAAATAAGGTCTGGCTGAGAATAGGATGATTTTTTATTTCAGTATAAATTCCAAACTGTGGGCAGGGCTTTCTGCCCAGGGGTTCTCCCCAGCCACTCCTCCCGGGACAAGATGTCAAATACATGAAAGGTCTGTACAAGTTTTGGGAAAGTTAATGGCTTGGTAGAGGAGAGAAACCCAAACTGAGCTCTGGAGTGACTACAGCATGAGCTCAGCAGTTTGACCTGTTGCCTTGCAAGCAACAAAATCAGGTAAATCTGGCCCTCAAGAACCACCTCTTCACAAAGGCCTCAGCATGAACTGAATGTTTTTAAAAGGGTACTGCCACATGTTTCTTGTTTCAGAAATAGCTATCACTAAGGAGGGCTCTGCTGCTCTGTGAGGCTGGTTTGTGAGTTGCTGGGCTCCTGTCTCTGAGCCCTGCCTGAGGGACTGAGCTGGCAGCCCCCAGTGGTATTAGTGTGTGACTTGTGGAGAGAGAAAGGGCATGCAATACCATTTTCTCCTTCAGCCGAGATAATTCCTACATTTTCTTCTTTCCCTTTTCATGTACAGGTTTATTTATCTTTCTCCAGAATTCAGTTTCCTTTGCTTATCTGCAGTGCTGCAGCTTTGAATAACACTGTGTCCTTCCTAGAGATGCTAACCAGAGGTTGCTTTCCCAGTTACTGACTTAGTGAACAACAGCTGGAGAAATAGCTGGTTCATTTGAAATCAAGAGCGTATCTTAGGGACAGAGAACGTTTTATGCAATAGCAGTGCACTCCTTTGGGTCCAATATACCTTCTTTGTCTTTGTTGTTAAACCCCCAGAGTTAGAGCAGTGAAGCAAATGGGCACCATAATTAAGCCAGACAAGGTGGGAAGAGACTGTCAAATAGCAGGAAAGGAATGGAGTATATGTCCAGAACTGGGTTGCAGGGAAGTTGGAGTTGAGCTAGAACTGGTAATTTTCATTCAGAGTTGAGTAATCATTTTTAATCCTCTTTCCTTTTTCCCATTCAATTTTCTATTGTAATTAAAAGCCAAATTGACCATTACCAGTCATCTATGCTCATCAGTTTTATGGATTGGTGTCAGCTTCAGTGCTGGGAATAATGTATTTTAGGTGGTGGTATGACTGCAAGAAGGCAGTAGTAGCTCTCATTTCCAAGACACCAAAAGAGTGGATAATAGAAGCAGGTAAACATGGTGCTCTATAAAGCAGGTATTGATAAAGAAGTCTGGAGACATAAGTTCTTCTCCTCTCACTGCTTCATGTTTCTTCATTGAGCCAGGGGAAGCCAATGCAGTTTTTTGTGATCCTGTGGTTTAGCTCCTTGAAAGCAAGATCAGCGCCTCCTGATGCATACCCTTGCATTTGGTATCCATAGGGAATGCTCATTGTTTTTCCCAGAGAGTGGATTATATATTTTAATACTGGGACTTCTGAATTTCAGCCACTGACTAGGCCAGTGATAACTGGTGTCTGTAGCTGTGCAAAAGCAAGACAGGTTGTACCGCTTGGTCCCACATCACTGATCGGGCTCCATTCCTCTACTCAAAAATCTTGTTCAATGTTTCTAAATTTAGATCCCTTCAGTAAAGAGAAGTCAATTTGCTCTCCAAAGTTGAGAAATTGCCCACAACAATTAGAAAGTGCTGCAACCATTAAGTGATTCTGGTTGCATCTGTTTCTAAGTGTGACAAAGCTTCTCTCAATGGCTGCCAATGGATCATGCTGCAGCAGCTCATGAGGCAGTGGTATGGCAGGGCAGGAAGGCACAGATGTCTGCCTGGGTGATTTAACAGACCCAGTGCTACACTTCTGTTAGCCTGATGACGTTCTTTGGTATCAGTGACAGAAAGCATGAGCTTATTCACTCTCTTGGCGGGGGGAGCTAAATTAACATTCCCAAGGAGGCTTGGGTCTCCTTATGGCTGCAACAGCGGCTGCTCCTAATGGCATCCTGAGAGGCTTGTGTTGGCCGTGCAGATCACAGTTGATTTGAAGTGCATGTGGCAATTCAATTTCTCCTCAAAGAGCAAGCCAACATTAAAGTGAGCTCAAGTGAAGGGCATTAACTGAGCTCAAGTGAAAGATGTTAATTTTAGCATCTAGCGTGTTTCAAATTTCCAACTCTGTATGAGTATGGAGGCCTCGTGTGTGAAAGTATCATTTCAAGTTTAGATATTGTCTCCAAATGGATAAAATGACTGCATTGGTACGCCATTTGGGGTTAGTTTTCTTTACACAAAATGTGACTGATTGAACAGCTTTTTCTCAGTTAATAAACATTCAGGATTGAACACAGCAGTCTGTGTGTGCAATATGCGTTTGTGTGTTTATATACAGCCAGAGTGTGGTAGACATGCTAATGTATACATACGCTATTCTAAACTCATGTATTACCCATTTTAGAATCATAGAATGGTTAGGGTTGGAAGGGGTCTTAAAGATCATGGGATATATTTTAAGTGTTACTTATGCTATCTTAAGAGAGCTGCATACAATAGGGCTGACCTTGGAAAAGATACCAAGGATAGTAATACGCACTGTGGTTAGTGTTTGTGCACTTTCTGGACATATGAGAAGCACAAACAGTGTGCTTACATAGAAGAATAGCATCTTGAAATAATTTATTTTAAATGCAAATCATATCAAATATTAAGCTAAATTGCCTTTTTCATATATAAGAAACTCACAAGGAAAGGGGAAAGTTAGTGGTGAATTAAGTTGGATTTGTTTAGTTGATATTTGTTTAATTTTGTGTTATTGCAGAAACTGGAACACAAAGAAGTTTTGGTTGGCTTGTTGTTCCTGGTTTTCCCATTCATCCCAGCCAGCAACCTCTTCTTCAGGGTGGGATTTGTGGTGGCAGAGCGAGTCCTTTACATGCCGAGGTAACTATTGCAATTGAATTCCTTTCTAATGAGACCACCATCCCATTTTGTAAAAGCAGGCATGATTGCTTCTTTCCTTTTACAATACTTCAAACATTATATTGCTACTCAGTGTGCTCTCTGCCTTTCAGTTTTGGTGTGATAGCATGAGACATTTTATAGTAGGTTGAGAGCAGGTTTTTTTGCTGTGCCTGAAACAGCTGAATACAGATTAGCTGTTGTTTTTGAAGATAGACCTCCAAGACTCTCTTTCTTAGTCGTATTATCAACTTACATTGTTTAATGTCTTTACCTTAAGGAAAGGAGCTGAAAAGTTAATCTGTCACATTTTATTGTGGTATTGCTCAGCTTTCCTACTACATTAGGTGGTCAGTACAAACAAAGGTGACTTGCTGTCTTAAAAGGGTGTTGGCATCAGTTGTGAAAATAGGCGCATGACCTCCTACCTGTAAGCTATTGACTGCATACACATCTAAGAGGGCAGGACTTACAGCTGTTGAAAAGGATGAAGAAAAGCCAGCCACTTCTCCATCCCTCAGCCTCTGCCTCTCAGCTTCCAGTTGCTAACAGTTATCACTTCAGCAGTCTGGGTGCTTCCGATTACATTTACTCAAGGACAATTTGGTGTCCTTACTTCTGACATGTCCAAGGTACCCAGACCAGAGGCTGAGGTGGCAGTAAGAGGATGTTCATCCAAGGTGCACCAGACCTTGCCCATTTCACAGAATCACAGGATGGTTGAGGTTGGAAAGGACCTCTGGAGGTCATCTGGTCCAAACCCTTTGCTCAAACAGGGCCACCTACAGCCAGTTGCCTGGGACTGTGTACAGACAGCTTTTGAATATCTCAAAGGAGAGAAACCCCATAACCTCTCTGGGCAACCTGTGCTGGTGCAGTTTGTTCCAGCTATGAGTATAAATGGTTGCTCTTGGATGCTGCAAGTCAGAAAGCCTAATTCTGTCCATGGGTGCAGAAGGTCAACATCTGTTATCTCTAGTGGGAACTGCCGTTGTGGAGCTGTTGAAAAAGCACAAGTCTTCAATTTCACTCTGGATTGCTTTGTGATAACTGAAACAATAGTTTTATCGCACAAAATGTTTAAATCGTATTCCTCAGAAAACATGGATCCAAAAATCCTAAGAAAAATGCTTACAGATGGTCTTTTGCAAAGCCCTGTGCATATTCTGATCATCATTTGTATAAGCACTATCACAAAAGGGCTACTTATTGGTGTAAAACTCAGGCTGTGTGGGAGCTGTTGTATTTATTACAAGCTTCTCATGAAATTAGGCTGGATCTCTGTGCTCTGCTATATACTGATATGGGTTTTGGGTCAAATCCTGCAGATTTCATTCACATCACTAGCATTGCTTTTGTTTGCTGGGAGTACCCCTGAAAGTATAGTGAGTGAAAGTTGTTCCTTGGTGTTATTTTGCAAATGATACCCTCAACTAATGGATCCTGCATCATTTCAAATTAACTTGGAAATCAGATTGCTTTAAATTCATGTAACAGAAAATGAGGAAACACATGAAAGCGCAAAGCTATTAAGGAAACAGTCAGCTGAATGCAGGGCTGTGTTGAGTGGTTGCATTTCTGAATCTCAAAAGAACCGCAGAAAATACTTCAGCCGTCAGCAGTTCCTCGTCCTCCTCCAGATGAGACTGCTGATATAATGAGAGGAGGGGCAATGAAGAAGAAAAAAGGATATGTTTGTGCAGAGAAAATTAATCAGCGTTAACATGTGTGCATATAGTTTGTATAATGCTTTTCATCTCCCTGAGGGCTTTGCAAATATATGACCTATGAAGTAGGCAATTCATAGATCCTGTTGGTTAAAAAACCAGGCAGGAAAACTGAGGTAGATGATAGATTCAGTGATACCTCTGGAGCAAGTCTGTGTCAGAATCCCCTTGTATCTCATACTTTGCTCAGATCACTCATGTCCTGCTTTGCAATATTTGGTTTTTGCTCCTACCCCAGGCTGGCAGGCAGCTGGCATGAAAAGGGAAGGCAAACTCTGGCAGTTTATGGGAATGGTGGGCAGTTTAGTTTCCAGCACAAGCATCTCGGGGGAGCTGAGCTCTTGGCTATGAGTTACCAAGAAATGAGCTCTCTTGCATCCTGTGAGTGCAAAATGACATGAGTGGTGAGGGGAGCTTCTGTGAGCGTTCATGACTATGGAAGAACAAAAATAATCTGTGGGGGGTTTGTTTGGTTTCTGTTTGTTTGTTTATTCCTCCCCCACCTTGGGAGCATGGCAGTTTAATAACGATGGCTTTAGGAAGCACTTTATTTAGAACAGCCTTTAGCAGTTTTCTTCTTACATCTTGAAAAGGGATTTTCTTATTCTTTACTATTCCTTCCCTAAAATTCAGCACGCCAGAGGTGGTTGTTCACCTCAATTAGGTGGAAAGAACTCAGTGATCTATGGTTTTGGGCTTATGCTGGAAGGTGCTTTTCTATCTCTGTTTCAAGTAATAGCTTTTTATTAGTATTTATGGATGTGACAGTTGTATATGCGTGTCACAGCCTGAAGCCCTAATTTGGTGTTGCACGGTAGTTACCTGGGCAAAATGTCAAGCATTTTCTTTTCAATCTAAGTTAAGTAAGGACCCAAGGATTTATGTAAATAGAAAGGAAGAGGGAATAAGCCTTTTGCGTGATGTCTAATTATATGGCTGGGCCATGCCTTCTGGGGATTGATGAGTATTTGGAACAATTCCTCTTCTGTCTGCAAGCTGTGCCTCAGGGGAGAGGGATATAAGCTAAGTCAGAATGGTTGAATGTTTTCTTTAATTTGCTTTAGCAAACCACAAATATTTGGAGAAAATATTTCTTGTATTTAGTTTTTATTTGGGGCTTGCAAGCACTTATTTGTTAAAATCAGGATTTTTTAACAATAGCATTACTTTAGCCTGAAAAAATTAAAAGGAAAACTATTTGTATTTCAATTTCTAATTTTCATTTCGTTGTTGTTCTCTTATCCTTAAGAGGGGAAAACTTGTTTTCAGGAGGGCTAAGGGGATGGAATACATATCTTGGAAGTGTTAGCCAGGATACAACTCTCTAGACCACAGTTTTCCAAAGAGACATCCCAATAAATAGCTGGATCAGTGAAAGACTTAAATCACTAAATGTTTTTCCTCTCTTCAAAACATAGATATACTAACGCTTGCTGCCTATCTGCTAATGTGCTCAGAACACCACAGACAGCCTGATTCTTTGAAAATCGGGAACAGCTATGTACATGCAGGTACTCTGAGCTGTGAGCATTTGTCTGTACTTAGCACTAGCTTGTCCTCTGTGTTGCCCTTCACCGTGCAGAAACTGGAGATGTAATGCAAACTCCTTGACCATCCAGGTGCTGCCTGCCCTACTGACACACCAGCAGAGTTGAGGTTGTTCTCACCTCATGGATCTTTCTTATCAATCAGAGCTATTTCTACATCTTCCCCATCTTTTACCGCTACCCTGATAGCAGTGGCTCTTGGCAGGTCTGCTCTATTGCAGCTGGACAACTTCAGCTGTTTTCACAACCTTATATGAACCAACAAATCAACCCAAACACTGCTACATGGCATATTTCCAATTTGCTGAAAGCAGTAGGCAAGTCAGAGGTACCTGCACCATTTTTTGGGCAATGAGTGGGCTGCAGCTACTCTTTCCTAGCACAGGCAATTACGGGTTGCTCTCATTTTCTTTTCTTTCTTTTTTTTTTTTCTTTTACCATCTCCTCACTCTATCAAGAGTTGGTGCTGCAACCCTAATTGTCAATATTAGAAGATAACTGCTATATACAGGATGCCATTTGCTTCAGCATCCATCTCAAAATCTGCGAGAAAGCCAGCATCTAGAAAAAAATGCTTGCACTTTTCAGGAGCTAAACACATGTTAAAGCTTTCCCTGTGCCATAGCAAAGCAGGCACTATATGAATTTTGCATTTGCATAGAGCATGTTTTTGGGTTTTTGTGCCGATGCATTTGTTCCAATTAGCGTAATTCCATACGTTATTAACGTTTGGAGAACAAACCCATCCAAAACTGGTAGGTAGTGGAACTGTCTGTAATTTTTGCAGACCTGAATATCTCTGAGCAAAGTCCGTTTGCTTATAGGACAGCCACTTGAGGATGGGAATTAACTGGTGCTTCTTTTTTCTGGGAGTGTGATACTCTTTCCACTTTAATTTTCTTGAAGACCAGTTTTATAATGGGATGATGGTGTGTTTTCAGTTTCCTTTGCCACCTATTTCTTTAACATTATTTGAAGCTACGAGTTCACTGGGAGCTGAATTCCTGTTTGCCTTTCAGAATTCCTTCAGGATTAGATCAGATCCTGTAAGGGATCATCTGAGTTACAGAAGAAGCTCCTCTTTTCAATTGGAGTCAAACCCTGACCCCAGCGAAGTCAAGCGGTGAAAGTCCCATTGACTCCATGGAGCCAATTTATCTGCTCCCTGATCTCAGTTCGGGAGCATAATTAAGCTTTTTGCCTGCTTTCAAGTTATAAACCCACAATTGATTTGGGATTTGGATATGGACTCTGAGTTACACCTGTTCCATTTACTTAAACCAAGCATGATTTCAATGCCTTACTCTATTGCTGCTATTCTTGTGAGGGCCACATTCAGAAGGAACAAACTGGATTATATTTCCTGTAACTGGGGGCACCGGGAGAGGACTGGGAGGGCATTATGTGATGGCAGTGGGCCAGGTGCCAGCCCCAGCCTGGTCCCTCTTTACCATGAGGGATGCCTGTCCCTACTTCAGGGCGTTTGCTCAAGCTTCAGTCTGCAAAATGCTTCATGTCTGGAGGAGAGGAGATGGGGACTTCGGTTGAGGCAAGCAGCTCTGGTTCTGCTTTCTTATCTGTTCAATAATTCCACTCTGCCTTTTGGAAGGTGACAGGGAGAGTTCACATCAATTAATGAGAATTAACTGCTTGTAGGAAGGTTAAACACTGCAAGCAGCTACCTTCCAGATGCGTATCCAAACTTGAG